ATACAGCATAGAATCCTTTGCTGAGGCACCTTGAGCCCGTACAAGCCGTATGGTGCCGCACAGCCCTTCTCCAACATCTGTTGCGTCGGAACGCCCAACATTCTCAGTTCACACGCTCAGTGGCCACATGGGCCGCAGTCCAGCATATCTGGAAGGCACCACACTGAGGCACCAGACCAAGGCTATGGTGAGCTCAAGGCAACCGGCAGAACGACTTGGGTTCAAGTCTTCTTGCAGCCTTGAATAGGAACTAGTCACATGCAGTCTGACCTACATGAAGGGTTGTTGTAAGGATAAAGTGTGGAGAGTCCCAAAGGTAGCCCTCCCAAACTTTTTAGAGGAACAAGACTTGGTAGTGTGTGTGTGTGTGTGTGTGTGTGTGTGTGTGTGTATATAAATATATTTATAGAAATATAAATGACAAAGAAAATGATAAATGTATAGTAATCAAAATGAAATACAGATACATTATTATATATTGCATTTTATTTTTTAACTGCTCCCTGGTATTTTGATGTTTTAGCAGTTTTTAATCTGCCCAGAGAGCATTAAGTTATTGGGCAGCCACGAAATGTAAGAACTACCTAATAAATAACTAACAAGACCGTGCTTTATTTTGTTGCCATTTCTGCTTCTTCGCTAAAGAACAGATAAATCAGGAAATGTTTTGCCCTTGGCAGTCCAGTCCCACAGACAAAAGATGCAATGAAACATAGTAAGCCATCAATAATAGGCTGTTTGCCACATCTTTAGCACAAGGCTTCTCCCATAGTCTCTTTGCTGTCCATAAAACCACTTTGCTACTGGAAATCGGACACCTCAGCAGCTAAGCACATGCTGTGCATGCAAAATGCGCCCGGATTCAATCCCTGGCATCTGCAGGTTGAGTTGCAAACCCCAATCTGAACCCCTGGAGAGCTAGACTGGGGTGCAGACATTTTGGTCCCGAGCCCCACATGCGGAGTTCGGTGTTGGTTAGGGCCTCCGGGCTATGCATGAGCTCATGCTCATGTCCACACATGCATGGCCTTTCCTTAAGTAAAAGCGAGCTGATTAAACAGCAAGGATTATGTCATTCAAGAATATTCTCAAACAGGCGCATATTTCCGTTCTGCAGGTTCTCTCTCTACCCCAAGCCTTAGTCTCTTTCTCCAAGTCAGCCTGTAAAATAAAAATGGGTTCCCTGACACGAAGAGCGCCCTGTTGTCAGGATGGGAAGAAATCAGTGGGGAGTCAAGGGGTGCAAAAACCCCTCGGGGGCCACATGCAAGCTGCAAGCTGTCTGTGCCAGACAGTGCAGGAAATACGGAGCAAGAGGGCCAACAGCCTGTCTCCGCATAAGTCAGAATCCTGCACTGAAGTACACCTCCTCTTCAGCAGCAGCCTGCTTCGCACCGTTGCCCCATTCGTGTGGCACGGATCTGGCTACCACCCCTGCTCAAAAGGAGACCTCCTGAGCAGTGGGCAGCAGGTGCAAAGAGGCGCAGGCTCCCTGGCTGCAGCTCAAGCCGTTTCCTCTTAAGTAGGAGATGAGGATCTGCAGCTGTGAGCCAAAAGGTCTTGCACTGGCCGTCTGGGCATAGGGGTAGGGGCAGCTGAGTCACGAGTCCGACTACCGGATCCCGAGTCACACTCCCCGTGCTGCCACCGCAAACACTTTCAGTGGTGGTGCACTGCAGACCGGCTGGCTTGACAGTCAGCTGGTGCAATGACTGCTCCCCGCCCCCCCGCCCCCCCCCCCATCGCAGTTGTGCTTCGGGGCATAAGCCTTGTTTGCACAACAGGGACAAAGTGACAGTCACAGTGAAGGGCTCTGGATTCCTGTTGCCAGGCAGAGGAGCCTCCTTCCTCCTGCCCTACTCCCTGCGATACACCCAGAAGAACAAGAGGGAAGGGAGGGACCAAAGACCCACCCTCATCTTGGATACTGAGATGGGTGCCATCAACCCACCTTGGTAAATCACCACCATGTTACATGTGAACCCACCTAACATGTTGAAATGAAGGTCAGAGACACACAGAGAGAAGAAGGATGGCAAGAGGAGCAACTCTTGCCCCTCCTCACTTTCAGGCTGGGATTCGGGTTAATCGGCCTTCCAGAACCACGCGCCTTCCAGATGAGTTGGACCGCCCCTCCCTGCCAGCACGGCCACTGTGCCAAGGAGACAACTTGTGAATGCTGCACAGTGGACAGCAAACTGGAACTCCTCAAGAATCCTGTGTGCATGACGGAAGCCCTCTTTAGAAGCATGGTATGTTTAGTATGGGCAGGAATGATCCGAGAATCTGTGTTTCTCAGATCTTAGGGCATGAGCAGCGAATTCTGAAGGAAGGCTTGGGAGCCTTAAAGTCATGGTCTGTGGGAAGCAGGGAAGGAGACATTCCAGCTGTGCTGATCCAGCTGCATGCCAGTGCTGTGTCCAGGGTTGGCAAGCTGGGTCAGATACGGTCAAGCCCTTCGAGGGTGCTGCGGCCCAGGCTTTAACAGTGTCCTGGTGGTGCCATTGGTCAGCAAGGGCCAGGCTGAGTGGAGCTTGCTCCCAAGGGCTGCAGGGGTCAAGAGCATGTCTAAAGGTACAGCAAAGCATCTCTTGCCCACTCTAATTATGGGCAGCTCCAATGCAGGATGCACACTCTCGGTCAACAGCAGCAAAAGTAACTGTCAGCTGGTGTATGGACACTTGACCAAACTAGGACCAGGGAGACTCAGAGGTACCTTGATACTTGCATGTGCAGAATAGCCCAGTGTATGGTTCAAGGGAATGCAGTGGAGAATTGACTCCCCACCGTTTTGCATCTGGCCTGGTCTCAAGATACTATTTTGCATCTGACTGCTTGGTGGATCTGAGGGTCCTAGTAGAAAGCAAAGCAGGCCTCAGAGGCTGAAGTTTCCCATGTCTAACTATAGCAGCCTTCCTAACTTGCTGCCCTCCTGTTGCCTTTGATTGCAATTCCCATCACTCCCATCCAGAATGCCCCTGAACTAGTGGTGGCTCTAGGTTCCTGAGGACATCTGGGCCAGCCACCAGCAGTCACCTCTTCCTCATTTTTCTCAGCGTCTTCTCTTCCCACCTGCTCCGCGCCTGCTCACCTGCACTCGTCTCACCTGCTGCTGTTGCTCCTCAGCTCTTTCCCATGACTGCTACCACTTGCTTGCCAAGAGCCAAGAAGCAAGTAGGTGGTGGAAACTCTTCCTCATTCTCCTCCCTACCACCATTGCCTGCTAATCCAACAGGGATCAATCTAATGCTCTGTGTACAATTCTTGCTGTACACAGAGCTCCCACCTCTACAAGAATCCACACTCCTCCTCTATTTAATTAAGTGAATAAGAAACCCCTTACAGGCACTGGAGTTCTCATGTGCACAAGAATGAGGTTGAACATAGAACTATGTACAGCCTGGTGATAATGAATGCTTTCCCAGCAATTGTCTGGATAATTAACTATCAGGCCAATCAGCTCCATTTTTGCATAATTTGCACATGCAAACTGACGGTGAGTCAGCGCTGTTCTTCCTGTAATCATTGAGCTTCTGCCTTAGCAGTCTGTGGATGTCTGGCTTGCATGGAGATTCCAACACCAGGCCTGTATCTGCCAGCCAAGAGAAAAATGTAGCATAACTTTAGACTTCTGCTCTGCTATCACATACCCTAAAGGCAGACAATGTTCCTGTCAGAAACAAAAGCTCCAGAAGAAAGATCTCAGCTCCCGTTATAGGGGTTTGTCTCTAAATCATTCAATAATTAACTAAATCTAATTCTCCTGCATTCATAATGCAACAGGACACCTGGAAAACAGGCTAGGCTAATTTCGCTGTGGGGCTTGGTCATCATCACCATCCCTGCTTAGCAGATCTCACAGCAAATGGCACATTAAACCCTTCTGCATATGCACCTGCCTGCATGGTGCTCTTTGCCATACAGTCATAAACATGGCAACCTATCCTTAGCCAGTACCGGTGTAACCCACCTTTCTGTTTGTTTAAGTGCATACGATGCACCTCCATTCTCTGCATGGAGCTGAACTGTAGAGGATTTCAACAAGGAAGAAAGATAGGCGACTGCAATCATACAGATCTGCTCTTCCCTCTCATAATGAGCACAGTGAATCACTTGAAATGTCTCTCCAGAATATCAAGCACTTAACTCTCCACCAATATTCTTCAGTAGCCAGTAAAATTTCAAAACAGCTGCAAAAACAGTGCATTAGAACTGATCCCCCCCCTCCAAGGCAGAGCATGTAAGGATGCTCTCTGAGGCTGCTGCACGAGCAAGATATGAAGCGGTGCTATAGATTGTGCACTGTTATTAAAAACAAGCAAGGTAAGGCCCAGTCCTGAGCGTGTACAGGCAGAAAAGGCTCTCGCAGCTCCCGGCATGCCCTGGCCAGCGAGGCTGCCTGCAGAATGCTGGGATTTGCCAGACTAATTTCTGCCTCCGCATAGGATAGCACTCTTGCTGGTTTTGTTTTGCAGGAACAAGGGCTGAGAAATCATGTACAACCACACACGTTCTTCGCACTGTTCTTTCATTAATCATTTAGGCGATCACTGATGGCCCTTCAGCAACAGGCCCTACTGCAGCAGTCCTAGCTGACTGCGAAGAGCAAAATGTCACCAAAAGTTCAACGTGGCTTTATTCACTGGCAGGCTTTCGGGCAGAAAATCTCTTTCAAAGCACAGCACAACTAGCCTCGTCATTTTTAGCTTTGGCTGCCGTGTCAGCTGGGGCTGGGTAATGATAGAAGCAGGAGTGGTGAAAAAATGTTCTAGAAACAAATAAGGTTTAATCAGAGAAGAGAAAGTCACAAGACCACATCGCAGGACAGCAGAACACACATGCCTTGCAGACAAACACAGACAAGATTTTCGAATCCAGAGGATCAATTCCACGATAGCCTGAGATCTGTTATGCCTATCTGATAATTAAAATGTGTGTGCGTTCCACCTGCAAATCCAATTCTCTTGCTGCCCAGGAGACACGCTGTGGCTTGCGCTTACCTGATTTGACCAACATTGCTCTGTATAGCCCCGTTGCTCCAGGTGGGATTCTCACCTGGTCTTCCATCCTCTGGGCCATCCAGCCTCTCGGGTCTCCGTTTCTCTCTCTCAGCTTCTCAGCGCAGTCCAGAGTGACTTACGTCTGTGCCTGCTTCCCGCACTTCTGCATGTTTCTAAGTCTGCATGACTTTTTGGCAGAGCGCGGCTCCGCTCGCTCGCTCACTCACTCACTCCTGCAAAGGTCTTTTCGGAGGCGACGAGAGCGAGCGGTCACGTGACTCCGCGAGCGGCTGGAGAGCGGCCGCCCCCCCCCCCCGGCAAGTGCTTCTGCTCGGAGCAAAACCGCTTCCCCGCGATCCCGCAGCCCCACATGCCTCGCCGCGCGAAAGCGCCGGCCCACCGCCGCCTCTGCGCTCGAGGCTTGTCGGCCGTGCTGTGCACTTGGCAACAAATAAATACGTGCAGCCTCACCTTCTGTGCTAAAGAGCTGTGCTCCGCGTTCGCTTCAGGCAGAGTCCCCCTCTCCCTTTGTAAATTATTGGCATGTGGGTAGCACATGGTGCAGAGGAATGAGTTATGGAAACCGGTTCTGATCGGCTGGGATGGCAATTTGGACTGCGATGTTTGCAGCGAGACTCCTACGCAGGAAACAGCTGGCATCAAATCAAGACGGGCGGCATGGTTAGCGGCCGGGGACTAATGGCACCATTTGGGGCGGGGAGAGAGATTGAGGGAGAGGGAAGCCCTTAAGCAATCCACCATGGACTAAGTGGGTGAGTCCCCTTGGAGGGCGATAGCCCACGTCCACTAGGATCATGGAGGGCCATTGGGGGCTGCCTGCTGGATAGCTGGAATGCGGGGGGGGGGGATGTGCACCTTCCGGCCCTCCAGAGGCCGGTGATCTCCAACTCTTGTAGTGCTTCATGTTTTGTTCTTTTAGTTATTTCTAATCTGCCCAGATATCATTCTATTAGGCAGATCAAAATACAATAAATAGATTAACACAGCCGCATCAGTCTCTGCCACCATAGCCCACACTAGCCTGGGTTGAGGGGAGTGGTAGTTCAAGAATATCTGAAAGGCCACAGGTTCCTCAACTCTGATTTATAAGCATTATTATTACTAGTAGTAATAATAATGATAGTAGCATTTCTGTACTGCTCAACAGCCACAGCCCACTGGGCAGTTCAGAACAGGGATGCAAAGAACAATAAAGCATCACAAAATTATACTACAACATTTAAAAGACAGATTGAAAGCTGAATTTAACAACTAGAATAGCTAGCAGCTGACACACTGCCCCAATATGCTATTTATGGTTGATAAAATGCCTTGTGTTAGAGGGCACCGCAAAGATGGCGCCAGGCGGGCCTCATTGGGCACCTCATTCCATGATTGGGTGGCAGCTGCACAGTGGCTGCCTTCAACCCTCAGGGAACATAATGGCAGACAGGAGTGCACAGCTGAGTGAGGGGAAATGTGTGTTTATCAGGCACAGGGATACTCTCCCACAGTGCGATGAACACATGGCCTTTGCTGCTTGGGTAGGACACTCGGGGTGAGGCATCTCGCTGGCCAAACCACCGTTGGGTGAGCTCTCTTGATCGCAAGACAGGCCAGCCCTCTGCCAAGCGCTGAGGAGAGATTTACCAGGCCTTGGGGGCAAATGTATGTCCCTCTGGGCTCACAGATGCCGATTCTTTCACAATTAAAAAGTTCAGGTGATGTCTAGATGTTTGACAGCCAAAGGCAGGACGGGAGTCCTTTTGGCATGAACGTTAAAGAGGAGATTCATGGGAACTGTGAAAGTGAGCCCTCCATGGGTCCCACTTAATGCTAGGCTGGCTCATTTTCATAACACTGCAAAGCACATGACTCCATGGAGGCTTTGGTCCCGCCCTTCTGCTCACTCAGCCCTAAGCACGGTGGCTCTCTCAGCTTCTCTTCCCCTGTGTGTTGAGGGAACAGAAGAAATATACATTCCTGGAGGTATTCAGTGAAAATGCAATGTGGCATATTTACTGGAATGTCATGTTATTACTGGTGGGGTGTGCCAGTTGATTATCCCAAGAAAAACAGCTCAGATTTATTTAAAAGTTTTAAAAGTGCTTATACTGAGAAAGGAGTGAGAGGTCATGATACCACATGGTTCAAGGAGCTCCCTAATACTCTTCGTTGATATGCTGAGATTTTTTTGTTGCTTTGATTCTGGAATGTATTCACATGTTTATTTCAGTGTTCATATTTAATTTTAACACGTTTTAAGTAAACATAAATGAGCATACTCTATGTAGAAAGGCAGGTCAAATGGGCAGTTAGGACTTTCAAACGGGGCACCTTCAGAGGCTGATCCTCCAGTAGCCCTTTGAGCAGAGGACTACACTCTGTAAAAGCAGGCATGTGGACACTCTACTAAATAGAGGAGTGTGGCGTGCAGCCTTTGGATTGAGCAAAAACGGCCCCATCCCAACTGGTAGAATCGGGGACAGGGAGACGGGATGTTGTGCTGAATATTCTTCAGGCTGGAAATGAATTCTCCAACAGTCATAGCAAGGGGTGCAGGGATAAAATTAACTCCAAGAGCATCTCCACTAACTTAATACTGAATGAAACCGTATTGTTAATTCATACTGGTGACGAAGGAAGCAATGGAACCGGGGGAGGACTGGAGGCAGAAGAGGCCAAGTGAATTTCCTTCAACAATATAAAAATAATATCTGACAACAGCTCTTTTCAGGAGCTCAGTTGGGATGTGCGGAGGGGCAAACAGGGACACACCGGGAATGTCCTATGGTGCCTACTCACGCTAGGGTGAGAAGGACACCTTTTAACATGTGACTGTTTTTTATCGGGTTTTTAAATTTTTATTTTAAGGTTTGGGAGGGTTTTCCATTCTCATTTGCCTCCTTGATGACTTTTCAGTAATTGTTTGTGCACCATCTTGATGACTTTTTAGGTGTACTATTTACAAATATCAATAGCAAATAAATATTAAATAGCAGCACACTCCTATGGTCACTAGAGTCTAACACCCACAGGGACGTGTGGAGTCCTGGTGGCGACCTAGGAAACGTGCTCGGAGCTTGGTGTGCCCTTCCCCGCTGGCTGTGCGATGAGCGTCGTGCGTAAGAGCCACTTTGGAGATGGGCCTTTGTGGTCATTCCAGGGGCTGGGGAGGAGGCCAGCTCCACCAGCACTAGAAGCATCTTGGTGGTGTCTCAGCCTCCTCTCCTCATGTTCTGAGGTGTGACACTGATTCAGCCGGAAACAGCTGTTCAGCAGGTGGGTTGTGCTCAGAGGCAACCTTTGCACCTGTGTACCTCCCATCTTGCATAGGTTCCCAGTGATCCTTCAGGTTCAAAACCGGAAATACATTATAGTTTCACAAATGTTTCTGAAACAAACCCAAACATCATTTCATATACTTGAAGAAAGGACAAGCATTATTATGAAATTTCTCATTCCAGAATGTAACAAATGTCACCCATTTTTCAAGAAACTTATTTTCCAAGAAGTAATTCTCTAACATGAGCATAACAGGCTGATTCTTACAACTTCTACTGTACAGTGTGGCTTATATACAGTAAGTCAGGGCGGGTTGCAGCATGTGCCAGCTTCCCTTTTGAATACTCAAGCTATAGCAGGTGGATACTGTGGCTTCTTGTGCCATCCAAGCCTGGTTACAGTGGCTTATGTGAGGGTTAAATAAGACGCTGTGGGTTGTAGCAGGGATGCAGACCCAGTAAATAAGCCAGTTCCATCATTGTGGCAATATCACGAATTCTAGAACCCCTCAATGGGCCAACCTTGCATTTCTTCCAATGAGCATCTATTGAGGTTTCAGCAGGTATAAATAATTGACTAACCACTGGTACATCACAATCCTTGACACAATCTTTAGTATAATTTAATAAAACTAATGAATCAGGTGATATTCTACACCCCATGACTTGCTCAACACATTGTAAAATGCTACCCTAGTATGGTTTGATGGTTTCACAGTACCAGTATGTAAATAATCTGCACTTAATGGTTTATACCCCCAGCATCTATCATATTCTAATTGCTACATTAAAAATACTCATTGTTAAGTGCCATAAATGAGAAATAATCAATATTCACAAATTTCTTCATACGCAGATGGAAAGAACTTGAGATATATGTGAAAACAGCAAAACTGGCAAGTCCATTCATCCATATCAGCTCAGGAAGAAGAGGCCACCTTGCACATACATACGGACTCTCTGATGGACCAGTGTTCCCATTTACAAAGCAGGTTTGACATAGTGACCCAGGAGATCCAGGTTTCAGTCCCCCACTTGGCCATGGAGCTCCCTGAGTGGCTTTGGGCCAGTCACTCATTCTTAGACTATCCTGCCTTACAGGATACAATGGAGTGGAAAGAGCAAGACTCACCCCACCTTCTTGCTTCACGCATTCAGTTCTCATGGTTGATGAACACAGCTAGTGTTAAGATTGGATCCAAGTAGTTGTAGTCAAAGTCCCTTACTCTGTTCACAACTGAATCAGAAATCTTTTCATCCAATATTCTCAGGGCAGAGGGAGAAGGAGAGGGAGGAAAGGAGGGAATGAAACTCTTCAAAAGTTCAGGAAAAGCCTGAAAAAGAACCTTCTCAGACAGTTTCCTCAGAAAACTATTTTCTGGAGAATGTTTGGCACAACTACATTAGCTGCATTTGAAGCACTTACCTGAGACGATAATATGTTTCCCATTTTCCTTGTTACACTTGGAGTGCAGAGAATATTCTTTCTAGGGAAGAAAGGGTGAGAAGGAGAAAAATGCAATGTATTATTTCTTTAAACTTTTAATGCTTCCCTAAGCCTTTGAAGGTGGATTACAATTTAAATTGTAGCCTTCTCTTTTTATTGTAGTGTCATGAGCTTAGCATAAACTTGCATAATCCACTGAGAGACTTTCTTACTAGATGTAAAACCTTTTGGTGAGATACATCAGAGGAGAAGGGAGGTGGACCTTTAAGTATGTTGGCCCCAAGAGATTTCAGAGATTTATGGGGATTCTGTTCAAGTGAATTTAAAAATTGCACCCCAATATGCATGTATTTATAATGCGCAAATGTGCATTCTTGCTTAGAAGGGAACTGCACCCATGTGAGTATTCCTAAGCCCTTTGCTAAGTAAGTACCTGCGAAGAGGTTCCACCAACTCCTGTGAGATGCTT